ACTCATAAAATTCTTTCTAGATATTTAAGTATGCTGGAGATCTATGTTATGTAGTTGTGCAAATGCCTACACAGTGGTGTTACATGAACTGTTGTTTGATTACTTCCTATGCCACGGTAGGCATCTAATTTGTTAGTCAGCATGATGCTTTGTGTGTAATTTATTTAGCATTATGTGAGAAACGAATCTTTATGATTTCAGGTGAACAGGCTGAAGTTAAGAAGGAAATGGAGCAAGTAAATAGTAAACCAAAATTAGATATTCGCCTCACCGACTTGAAGCTTGTTCTAGGCCCAGAGTTGAGAATAGTTTATCCCTTGATTCTCAACTTTGCTGTTACTGGAGAGCTTGAGTTAAATGGCATTGCTCACCCCAAGTGGATAAAACCTAAAGGCATTCTTACATTTGAGAATGGTGATGTGAATCTTGTTGCAACTCAGGTAAGTCTTTGTCTCCATATGTTACTGCTGTAGTTCAGTTCATGATTTGTGGTCTTTCTGCTTTCTATTTTTTATTTTTTCAATTCTAGGCTGGCATGTGATTTTTTTTGGATATCCAAAATTGACCTTTTCTAATTCAGGTGAGGCTTAAGCGAGAGCATCTAAATATTGCAAAATTTGAGCCTGATAATGGACTAGATCCAATGCTAGACTTAGCTCTGGTAGGATCAGAGTGGCAATTCAGGATTCAAAGTCGAGCTAGCAAGTGGCAGGACAAGTTGGTTGTGACCTCCACACGTTCTGTGGAACAGGATGTTCTCTCACCTACTGAGGTAATATGTATGACTCCAATCGTGTGTGTCTTATCCAGTCTCCTTAGTTCATTCAAATCGTTTATAAAAGAACTTACTGTATAAATTCAGTTTGTAAATGGATTTGTTCCGGTGTTGGAAAATGATGCATGCATGGTGGTGCTTTGCAAATTTCAAAAAGCAAAAGTATGGTATGAGCGTACATATAAACTTCTGATATATCTAGATGAATGCTAGCCATTTTCATTTCTTTTCCCTATATAATGCAGGATATTATGAGCCATAATTTGGTGGAGTCTGTTTTACTAAAGTTTGAATTTCCATGGATTTGAGTGTGGATGATTAATCTTTTATGCAGTATTGGATTTTGGATCGAAATGTTTTTTTCTGAAATTTATCATATGTCCTGTTCAAGCCTTAAGTTTTCTGATCTGTTTGTTTCCACATGCACAGGCAGCTAGAGTATTTGAGAGTCAATTAGCTGAGTCCATCTTGGAAGGTGATGGCCAGCTTGCATTTAAAAAGCTTGCTACTGCAACTCTCGAGACATTAATGCCAAGGATAGAAGGGAAGGGAGAGTTTGGACAGGCTAGGTGGAGGCTAGTTTATGCACCACAGATCCCTAGTTTGCTTTCTGTTGATCCCACTGTTGATCCTCTTAAATCTCTAGCCAGCAATATTTCATTTGGTACAGAAGTCGAAGTCCAGCTGGGGAAGCGTCTTCAGGTTATTTTGATGCTTTTTTCTTTGTTCTGGTTAGAACTTCAGTTCATGAAATGTTTATTCCATGCTGTAATCTGCCTTTCAGTATTTTAATTGATATTAATTGGTTGGTTTTGAAATTGAAAAGGACATTTTAGGTAAAATAAATAAACTTAGGCAAAGATCTGAATGACAAATATCAGGACTGGAAGGGCAGGATGAGGGTAGCTTTATTTTGTTCAGTTTTCTGTACTTAGGGAGTGATTCTTGAAAACCTGAAAGCCAGCGAGGCAATGCCAATGCAATGGACCATAGCTTCAATTTTCTCTCATCAAAAAGCTCACCAGTGATGCTGTTTTAACGGTTTGTGGCATCATTTCCTCTCCATTATGCCTTGGGGAAGCTTTCACTAATGGCCAGTACAGTGGTTTCTGAATTGTGTTTTGATAGACTCTGATTGGGATTATCGTTGTTATCACATTAGTAATGTACCCTGTGGTAACCAATATATACTGAGATTAGTATTTCCACTTCAACAAAATCACTTTTTTCTGGAGTATTTGGCTATTGTTGCTTTCTGTTGTGAATAGTGGTCAATTCTGAATTGAATGAGTTATGTGGTTATCTTTCTTTATCTCACTCATCATCATCTTTTAGCACCCTTTTTCTTGGTTTTCCCAGGCTTCTGTAGTTAGGCAGATGAAGGATTCAGAGATGGCAATGCAATGCACCTTGATCTACCAGCTTACAAGCCGGCTGCGACTGCTCCTACAATCTGCTCCATCCAAACGAGTCCTCTTTGAATATTCTACTACGTCTCAAAACTAACCTGCTTGGCACGGAAGTTAAGTTTTGCTGTGTGGAATATAATTCTTGAATGGCGTGATTGTTACAGTGTTGTTGCATATGTGGCATTTAGTTCTCCCCTTTCTACTTTGGGAGGTGGGGTGGGGTGGGATGGGGGCAGAGGGGTTCGGACCAGGGGATTCCAGTATGTAAAATTAATTGTTGTAAATATGTTATCATTCTTTGCTCAGAAATGAATGAGCTGGTTTATGAGTACATCAGAAGTGTACAGCCAAGAAAAAATTTCATGCATTAGTTGAATGTCATTTGAGGAAACGCTTGATGCATCAAAAAACCCTTGGCGTTCGACTCGTAGCCCATCTATTGTCTCTCGTGATGATAACAGGACTATCATATTTATACCTCCTAGAGGTTGACTGCAGTTTCATGTTTTTGGTAATAAGCATGGCACTGGTCAATGTTTTTCATTATATGGTTGATAAAGCTTGACACTACCCAATTGTTTTCATGTGTTTCAGCTGACTGTTATCACACTGTCACAGCTTTGCAAGAGAGAGGATTTCAATTTTGAAAATGATTTGAGAATGATATTCCAAATGTTATGCCACTTAAGGGCAGGTTCTGCATAGTAGCTGTCCCAAATACTGCATTTTCACTCATAACACTGATTCTTCTGCCTTCTGCTGCACTTCATTTTACAATTTGTGTTAGGGTGCTTGGTTTGGATTCTTCAACAATCTGCAAAAAACTATTGAAGGTCTGTCGATAAATCAGATTTTAATTTGAATCCAAATTTAGTCAACCACATAGTGTTTGTTCTTGACGGATTTGTCCAAATCCGAATATGTTACATCTTATTTCTTGAATTCGGGTTTGGATATATCAATTTTTATTTTTATTTGAGTTCTATGTATTGAATTTATTTGGATAAAGGCGTATTTTTTATTGTTAATGGAGTCATATATGGACTTGGCAAATGAAAATAATCAGCTAGTCAAAACAGATTTGGATCAATTGAAATTGAAATCCGTATTGTTGACAGGTCTATTGCACTTATTCAATCTAATAAGTATCTTGTATCAAAATTGAGAAATTCTATGGCTCGGATCTTTAGTATTCTCTTATTTATTACTTATGCCTCATTTCTCACCCGAAAAATAGGAACCCAATCATTTGGGAATTCTTTCTTGTCTGCCTTGGACGCACGACACCTCCTTTAATAATTGATGTAGTAACCTTTAATGGTTCAAACAGCCTGGTTGGAACTCATTAGTTAATAAAATGCGAAATCTAAAATAGAGACATTAAATAGAAAATGGTGGAACTTTTTTTTTTTGCCTGTATAAAGGGGTGGAATTATGACAGGATATATTGGTAAATTAAGGTTAAGTTGTCTTGCAGTTTTCTTAAAATTGGAGGATTCTTCAATTCTCTTTGGGCTAACTGTTTATTTGGTCCTTGAACCATACTGTATGTGTTTATCAAAACCCATAAACTATGTTTTGTGTAAATTTTAGATCATAAAATATGTAATCTGATTCAATGTGACTCTTCTGTCTAAAATTTTGACGAAAATGTTCCCGCGCATATCATGTGAGTCAGAGATTAGGTTATAGTTCAATAGTCAAGTGATGTGCACGTAAGCATTTCTATCAAAATTAACGTCGAATTTGAACAGAAGGCCTACATTAAAGCAGGTTGCATAGTTCAAAGGCTAACTATTTATTTGGCCCTTAAATAATACTTTTTATGTTTATCAAACCCCTAAATAATGTTTTGTGTCAATTTAGCACTTAAACTATGCAATCTAATTCAATGTGACCTTTCCGTCTTTGTTGTTAATTTGACAAAACATCTTCACGTGCACATCGTGTGAGCCAGAGATTAAATTATAATTCAATGGTCAAATAATGTGCACGTAAAAATTTCTATCAAAGTTAATGACGAATTTGAACAGAATGACTATATTGAGTCAAATTGCATAATTTAAGGACTAAATTAATATAAACCATTATTTAGGGGTTTGATTAACCAAATAATATAGTTAAGATGTCTTCTTTTATTTTGGCGACAATCATTCATGGGAGGGAGCTATGAGTCGGCAAGAAAGTTCTATTCCCTCTATGTCCTCAAGAAATGAACGGAGGGATGAATTGAATTCAAATACAGTTAGTCTCATGTAAGACAACAAGGGGCTAAATAGGAAAAAGGGGTAAGATTTATACATCTTATTAGATTCAGATGATTTTGAATTCCAAAAATTCCTAATTATTTTTGAATTAATTGACTATTTTAATATGTACAGAACCTGATAATTCAAAACAGAATTGAAATATCCGGAGCCACCCCTGGTACATTAACCTGTCACCAATCAAAGTTTCACTATAACAGCCATTTGAAGTTTGAACAGCTTAAAGATTTCTTCTATTCCACTCATTACACAACTGTTACAACCCTTAAACGGCTGTGATACTAGCAAAAAAGATCCCAAAATCAAAAACAAAAACAAAAAACAAACAGAAGAAGAAAAAGAAGTCTCCAACACATGGGTTCAGATTAAAAAGAGGTACTCAATTTGCTTACAAATTACATTAACTAAATTGCATTGAGAAAAATGGAACTTTTTTTTCTGTCTGGACAAGAATAGTGCTCAAAATCTCAAATCTTCCCATGTGTACTATTTTGAGAGAGAAAGAATAGAGCTGAGATCAAGAATAATTTGAATGAATATATTGACTTGTCACCAAAATCTCCAAGGATCCTTGTATGGAGGGACATAGTTTTCCGTGGGCGGTAGAAGGCGGAAAGATGCCACAGTTTTCTCCAAAAATGGCCCCATCTGCATAACAGAAATGCAATTTCTAAAAATAGAAGAAAAAAAAAAGAAAAAGAGTAGGTACCATTTTTCACATAGATTTTGCATGAACAATTTCATCAATAAAGGTACATGCTACCAAAATATTGGGCTCATTTTAAATGAGATGGAAAATAATACGGCATAATATCATGTCCATGGAGGTCTAAGCGGCCCCTTGGATTTCACAATTCCAAAACAAACTACTATACATATGGTAAACTTAAGTAAGATTTAAGAATGTGATCATTTATTTGACATCTGAGTGCAAAATATCTTGAAAAAACTTGAATAATATTCGTAATAAGCACGAGATGATTCCTAATGTAACGGCCTAACCAGAAATTTAATCCTTACTTCTTTAGTAGTTCCTTTTCCTTTTCAATCTGGCAGTTTAGTGCAGAAGAGAAGATTTAATGGCTAAGCAGTTCCGTTAGCATAGAACAGAGAAAGCAAAAGAAATTTCAAAATTCATGTTTAATTTGCATTTTTATTTGTTATAGATCACGGAAACGAAATCCTATAAAAGCTGCCAAATCCGAATGTTGATACTTTCTATTGTGCAATGGCCTCCTTTCCAGAATGATTCCATCTCGAATACAGTAGACATCAGTCACGCTATATATTGAAGGAGAATCATTAAATTGGTTACCTATTTCATAGATTTTACTGGCAAAGTATTAGGTCTATCATTTCCATTTGGCATTTTCTCTGAGGCCCTCACAAGATAAGTAGTCCTGGGAGCTCGATATTATGATTTAGTTTTTTCATGGAATTTCATACTGTATTAAAGAACTCGTCATTCAGCTTACTGTTGGTCATGGGCTCACAGGGGGGGTCCATGGTCTAGTCAATTATAAACTCATGCTACAAATATCCAAATAACATTTCAGGATTCACCCCATCTATCAGTTCGGAATCAGTAATCGTAACACCGCCCTCCTCTCTGAGACTCTGAGTCATAACCACCCCTAACAATGTGTCCTATTCGACCTGAGAACTATGAAAATATGGCATGGAAATTCAGTAGTTGAACATTATATGAGGTTAGGAGTTCCAAACTATTGTTGCTGTAGGACACTTGTTTAGAAATTCTTGAAATTTAGCAATGATATTCAAAACTTTGTTTGTTATTGCAACCACTACAGTCTGTTTCAGGAAAGTCTACGTAATTTTATGGCTTTCTAAAGCTGTAGAAGGACTTTAATCCTATGAAACATGGGGAGCCCAAAAACGATTGACATTTGAAGGCATTTGCAGGACCTTCCTCTGTTTTTGATGCTTCACCTACTCTACTTCTACCACTTTGTTCCTCAAAATTTTCTATGGCATTCATTTTTTACTCTCGAGCAAACATACTTTTATACTTCTCCAGTGTATTTCTATCTTCTTTGCTACAATCCCTTATTACATCTAGTTGTGGTATTTCCTGTCTTTTTTCCAATTTCTCTTATCCCTCTCGCAAGCATCTCTCCTTTCCTCAAATCTCTTGTATCTCTCTTATTTGTTTTCCTCTATCCCGCATGGACACTCTCAAGACGGTGATGTATCCATGTCGGACGTTGACACTCCTCAGACATTCTCAGATACGTGTGTGACACTCTTTTATCCCTATTCATAATTAAATGATAAAATTTTAATTTCGGACACGTATCCGACACTTCTTTGGTGACATATTTGACACTTCTTTAGAATATATCTACTACTAAATAATAAATGTCTGGATATGTAAATAACAAAGTTTAAAAATCTAACTAATAAGTATCTTATAACCTGAGAGAACATATAGTTACCAAAACTAGACATGTTAAACTTATACTCAAAATATAATAACAAAAGTAAAAGATATATAAAAGACTTAGAAAAGCAGAAGAAAATGAGAACAATCATTTAAATTATATATGATAGGTATACGTCATGGATAAAATTGATGATTACTGACTAGTATGATGTTTGTCTGAAAATTCACACTAAATACAATAGATGACTAGACATAACAATCACTTATCATAAAGTACTGAATTTTTTATGAATAACATATCATTATTACTAATTTATTTACTTTTATAACGTTTCATGTCCGTGTCTATGTCTGTATCCACGTTCGTGACTGTGTCCATGCTTCTGTGTTCGTGTCCGTATCCATGTCCATTTCCGTGCTTCTTACCCTCTATCCTATAAAATTCTTCCCTTCTCTCTATAGCTGGTATATTGCTTTTCTGTCTCTAAAAACTTGAGAAAAAATTCCTGGAGAGCACTTTATAGCACCCCCATCCCTCAAATAAACATCTAAAAAAATTTCCATTTACATGCTACTATTACCAGGTTGGGTACCCTATGAACCGTAACCAAACCTCTCAGCCATAATCACCTTCACTGCCCCCTTCCTCCTTCCCCATTCTCACTCCCTCAAAAACATCAAAATTAATTGTTGATACAAAAGGTATTTTTTAGAAAATAACATTATACCCATTGTGCATGAGATTGTCAGTAAAAAGATATACAGTCATCAATGATGAAACTCCAGATGTATATGATTGCTATTATCGAGTAGGCTATATCTTTTGAGATCATAGGCCACATAATCAACTTGAGTAATATTGCTACTAATGGGTCAACTTATCAACAATAAAATTTCTGAAGTGCCTTCTGACTGCTAAAGATTTAGTTTCATCCCAAAAAAAGTGAAAAAATGGAATGAAATAAAGTCTCTGTTCCACCTTGGTCAAGAACATAGTGAGAATAAAAAATTTTGGGAACGCTGATACACCCAAAACAAAATCACCACCTTCCTGAGCCATTTTGGATTCAGAAATCAATACATACAAACAAAACATGAAACATAAAGTAGGTGTGGGTGTTCGATTTCCCATAGAAATGCGATGTTGAACATAATGTCAAAATGATGAAAAAGATGCCAGAAGAGAAAAAGAAAACAGTACTTAAGGTGAGGGAATGATCTTGCCTGACCAAACTTGCATATTATTGGCACATAAAACCAAATGCACAAAAAAACTTATAAAGTTTAGAGAGAGAGAGACTTACAACATCCCATTTGTTGCTAAGAGTTGAAGCATTTAGAGAGTATAAATAACCTGCATCAACCACTTATTGTGATGAGTTAAACTGCAAAAAATTATCCTGAAGTGTGCAGGACCACTAATTACAATCTTATCAGTCTTCCTTGAAGACGCTTTTACAACTTACAAGAGAATTGATTTAATCAACCCTGGTCAGTAATCGATGTTCTTTATTTTTCCATTAAAATCTCCAATAAACTCAAAATCTTTCAAGCACGCAAAATTATGAAATCTCCGAAAAGAGCATAAATTATTCTGGAAAAATTAACTGATGATGGCAGACATATATCCATACAGATGCATGCTAGCAGTATAGATACTATAGAAACATGAATAAGGGCTTACCATCTCGTTCAGCAGTTGAAGTGATATAATGCCTGTAAATATTTGATTCTTGAGCCTGCATCATTCCTCATGAAGTGTGACCATTAGGTATAGCTTCTATATATCAAAAGCTGTCATTTGTAATCTAACTAATTATTGATAGCTTACAGTTTTTGTAGGCGATTTGCGAACGAGGTATTCATAGTACCAATATGGCTCACCATCAATCTAAAAGAAGACAATGAACTCCATATAAGCAGATGAAAGTAATCATGCATTAAAACGAGAAATGCATTAAAATGAGAAACACTTGATGCAAATATGCAGCGTTGTAAACAGTTCACTCTTGACTTATCCTCGGATTACAATTTGATATTTCGTAGTCTAAAGCAACGTTTCGAGAACTCACTTCAGAAGAATGTGTATCAAGGACCGAACTCTCAGCCATACGTTGAGTTGAGGTGATTCTCTGTACAAAATTATAGCATGTTATGAGATAAAAGCATCAAGTTGGCAAGATATATGATTCTAGAAGATCCCAGAATTGTCAGTGCCTACTACGGCAAGCATATTTTGATGGACATGATTATGGGAAGCTTGAAACGTTTCAACCAACAAACTTCTATAAAGCTCCATGATCATATGATGTAACAAATATTACACTGAGACAACTTTCTGAGCTTTTTGCATCAAGAAATTTGCTCATCACATATACATAGGCATGGCCCCAATTAAAAAGAATTTTGGTTTTGCTTAGTTGCCATGCCAAATACTCCAAATCTTTTTGGTTATGAACATTCAAGGGCATGGTATTGAATTTCAGGTTTGAAACAATTTTTTTGATAGGAAATGAAAAACTTTTATCATGAAGGATTTCATATTCATTTCTTGACATCATTTTGGGCTTTGGTTACTAAGGATTTCAAAGGAAACCCGCTCTTTACAATTTTGGCGGGATGGCAAGCTTCATGTGATATTTAGTTTTGAAACAATTTCAATCCAGCTAAAGTTGAAGTAGTACTCTATGCAAGAGAAGGGGGTGAAAATTAGAGATGACTGGATCCAAAAACCACCCGCAAGATACTATGAATTTCTAGAGCATTACTCAATTGTTGTGTTTCTAAAGGTCCTACGCAGACTAAGATAACAGTTATAGGTTTCTGCACATAAATTTAGCAGTCTTAACTGTTAACCAGAGAAAGAATAGGTAATTACCAAAGCAGACTTGTCAGATAAAACAGAATCAGCAACATCTTTTGCACTCCATTTACTCTTATCCTTAGATTTCAAGAACTGCGAATTTGGAGGACCTATCTGAACAAAAGTAAATAAATTCAAAATCCTCCAAATTCAAAACCATAAGGGTTACTTTCAGCAAAAAATTGATTTCATCAAAATTACCAAAACAGAAATGATGAGGTTATCGATGAGGTCAACACGCTCGGATACAATGCGCAGGCGTGCATCAGCTATACCACACAAGAATCAGTGTCTAAGTTTCTAGAAAAAAAAAAGGCCATATATCAAAGGCTCATGCAGCTCATACAATTGAACTAGATGCCACCTATTAGTGCAACTTCTATCTGAGGTAAAAATTCCAGTTAATGATATTTTCACTGAATCATTAGCATGGATTCAACCTTTCTAACTTTCATCACTGCATTTCTGAAGGATACAAGTTCACAGAACTTACGTGACAGTGGCGCAGCTGATGAATAGCGTTCTGGTTTTCTGGATTCCACCCTTCAAATAGATGAAAAGGGTAAGGCTCCTACAATTAGGATGCGAGATAATGAAGAGAATTTTTTTGGGAACAATACAGTCAGTATACACGTGTTTTGAAACCTTCCACAAATAAGAGAGTTTTGAGCATCAAAACACTATAATATGAAAAATAAAAGCGGAAAACGAAAGGAACTTGCAATTTATTTCAGAATCAAATGTTTTAAGAATATATGTCTATGAAAACTTGATGATTCAGTGTATTAACCCAAAGAGACATCTTTAATGATGCTCAAACATCGAAAGACTAAAATTGTTTAGATACGGCACCTATTTTTAGATAACACAATCTCTATAGGATAGTAGACTCGTAATCTAGAGTTTGCTAGAATATCAACAAGGTCTAAAACTAACAAAAATTAAAATAAATTTTAATGACACCCCTAACATTTGGGGTTGTTCTCCAACCACCCCCTCATTTTTAACCATGGCACGGGGACCCCAATCGGAATTTCTAATTGAGAAACGACTTATTAACTTTAGCAATTGGGTACATTTTTGGTTAAAATCACAAATATTGCAAAAAAGCGAGATAGAGAAAGAAAAACGTTCAACACCCCCCCCCAAAAAAAAATATATATATATGTGTGTAAACTCCCCTTTCTTCGGCCCCTTTCTGATTCTCTCAAAAGCTTGTCTAGTCTGGAAAACTACTTTCTAGAGCTCTATGTTTCTCTCTTTCCCTATACCTCCAATCATTAGTCTCCCTTCTCCATTTTTAGTCATGGCTACCACAAACTTTAGAGCTCTAAAGAAGAGAAACGAAGAGAACAACAATATAATTTCTACACATTCCCAAGCAGAGTTGCCCTATCCAACCCACTGGTCTATTTTGCTAACATTCTCATATTCCTTGAAGAATGCTCAGAGCTTGAAGGTTATTCTGTGGAAAGAATACAAACCTGGTGCACCAACTTTCTAGTGATCCAGAATAAGAAAAAGCCTCTATATGTCATTGATGTTAAAGCCAATAGAATTTATGTGCCTCAATGAGGTTGTTAAAATTGGATGAGGCTTTGAATTTTCTAATTGGTTCTTTATAATGGGCTTCAAAAATCAATTCAATCTTTTGGAAATTAAGTTTCTAAAAGAATGATATCAATATGATTAGTTGAATGATTTATCATTTGAATATTTGAATCAAGTTTTGAATTGTGATTTGTGAGATATAGAGTTAGAGGTTTGAATAGGGCTTTTGATATTCAGATTCATTCCAAGCATGACTAATTCACTGTAACCAAAAGCTGACACAGTCGGGGGATGGGTTGGGGGGAAGGGGTTATGGTGGTGGCGTAGTGTATTTGAGGGTGGAGGGGGATTGGGGAATGGAGTGTGGCTGCAGGGTGGTTGGGCTTGGGAGTGGGCGGCAACGGTTGAGGAGTGGCTTGGGAGTGGAGGGGGTGGTAATTTTCATGTAATAGTGTATGTGTGTGTGCACATGCGTGCCTGAAAGAATGTGTTTGTTAAAAAGGAGGAATAAAATAAAAGGGGGAGGAGTTTTTATGTACATGGTCACTTTTGTTCTTGTTACGACTTACGAGTAGTTTGGACAAGGAATTTAATTTAATTCCGATGAGTCCTGAGGGATAGAATTGGACTTTTAAACATAAATTTTTGTTGGCGTATTTTTTGACAATGAAGGGGGTCTCGGTGGTACAATTTTCTAAAAATAAAATACGTATATGCCAAGTGTAAACATGTTTTTTGTCGAATTTTAGGGATGTCAACGATCTTTTCCCTAAAAATGTAAAACAAAAAATCCAATCCCGCGTCATAACAGCTATGACACTTTTGAGCCTGATGCAAAAAATGCTTACCACTTGAACACAAACTTTTTAGAAGGCAACTCCAGGGGGTACAGATAAGAACAAGCATTTATATCATCAACAAGGGAAGCCATCTTCAGATCTTGCTCAGCACCAGATCCTGCAATATAGGTGTTGTAATGTATAAGAAAAACCAATTAAAACCCAATTCAGGCAGAAATTTTTAGAATTAAGCTTAACTCCTCTCAAACTCTATAGCAATCAACAAAAATTAACCTTTACTATGAATTCATGTTATTATTACCCTATAAATACTATATAAAAGTGTTTTTAAAAACATAGCGAAAAAAAAGGAGAGAAGGCAAATATGAAATCATAAGTTGGCCACTGGAAAAGCTAACCCTAAGTCTGAAACACTTTGAAAGGAAATTACTACCAAAACATAAACAAAGTATTCTTTCAAAAATTTATTCAAATAATTATCAGAATTTACTACACCCATGACGACCCACAATCTAGTTACATCGATTCCAAATGCAGTAGGCTCGCAATCCAGATCACCAAAATGTACGACCCTGAATTGTAATACTAACCCTAAATTGATTCGCTTTAGAACATGTAACACACATATAAAATACAAATCAATTGACTAAGTGCATGTAGATTTATGATTATATATTACTTTAGATAATAAAAAATTGAATATAAATGTAAAATAAATGGTAACTGACTTAATATTTATGTATGTTCAATGATATATAATGGTAAAAATAAGAGTTCCAAAAAGAATTGGGACTCAAAATACAATACCAGCTAAGTCTTACCCCGTCGTACCACATACCAAAGCAAGCCACGATCCGAGTAACATTAAATTCAAAACCCATCACATATTTTTTCAATAAGACTTTTGACTATAAGTTTAAGTTTTTATCCCAACGATATGTTATGTGTTATGTCTGTCATCCTGGTCACGAGAAACTAATATAGTCAAAAAAAAATTATCAAGTAACCAAAAGGAAAAGAAATACAAGCCCCAACATGCCCTCAAGAAAATGCATCACCCTTTTATTTACCTTCGCAACAGGATAACAGTAATAAGCAACCTTAGCAATCTTTTCAAATCCAAAGAAACCCATATCAACAAATTCTACAACCACTAGTGTAAATTACCATCAACCATAGGTATGTGGTGTGATATTATTTTATACACACAACAACAGAAACAAAGAACAAATAGAATGACACTCCAAGAACATAACAACAATACTAGAAGAGAACAAAGGGTCAAATAAAACTATCGGATAGAGAGGATTTGAGTCTACCAGAACATGGAAAAATCATTGCAAATGAAGAAGAAAAGCCAAAGAGCATTAAATCCCTCCTGCATAACTCATTTTTGGAAATGGGCTTTGAAGTAGAGCATGAACATGCTATAATTTCCTCGCGTACTCTACATTTCTTCTGATTTGAACTATTCCTATTGTGTTTTCTGAAAATTAACACAAACATTATCAAAAGACTGGTCAAGTACACAGAATCTTTAGTATGTAATTATGGAGAGACAGAGAGAAAGAGAGATTACCTGAAGAAATTAAGGTTTGCAAGGAGAGCATGATTGGATATACAAAGATATTGAGAGGGAGAGAGAAGGACCGTTGCCATTGTGCTGCTCTCTCTCACTCTGTTCGTATGTCAGCTCATCCACCTAGCTTACAAACCAGGTACTTATATTTCCATTAAATTGCGCCAATGGCCCATCAATTATCTAAATTGGGTTATTAAAATTTTAAGGGTTAATCATAAATTGTACCCTGAAAGATCTCTTGAATTCTAATTTATACTGTTAAAGATAAAAAAATTTAATTTAAACCCTAAAAAACATAAATTTGTATCAATGTGCACCTAAAACTCAGGCATTCATTTGCCGTTTAAAACTAAATAGATAAATTATAATTAGCCCTCTTAGGTTTATCACTCAATCACTGGATCCCCTCACATTTAGAATATTATATTTACACCCGTAGAATATTAATGTAACCGTTAAAAATTGTGATGTTATCCTAATAAACAACTATAATTTTCATACTACCTTTTATTTTATAGATTCATTGTACTCTAAAGTTCAAAATCAAATTTACCCTTTGAATATATCCAATACAATACTGGTATTTTATATTGTTCAAGAATACTGATATTATATAATTTTTTTATATCCAATGCAATACATTACTTGATTAAAAGTTGGATGCTCAATTGGGGGAACACTTTTAGTCATATTTGGATTCTTAAGGGTGTAAATGTAATATTTTAAATATAATGGAGTCTAGATGATTAAGTAACAAAAATAAGGGGGTCTAATTAAATTTATTCATTTAATTTTAGACAGTAATTTGGACGGCCGTTAGCTTCAGGTGTATATTGATATAAATTTATATATTTAACGGTGTAAATTAAATTTTTTTATCTTCGAGGGTACAAATTAAAATTCGAGAGATCTTTTAAGGTATAATTTACAATTAACCAAAATTTTAATTTTATCAATTTAATTATCGAGTTTTACAAATTGAAGTAGTATGATCTTTGACACTAACCACAGTTAAAAATTGTGATAAAAAAATATCACGAGACTTGCAGATGAGAATATTGAATAACATTTTTGTCATTATCAAACACTTAACGAAACACCTCATACTTAATTTACAATCTCAATAACAAATAATATACATGGACCAAATACAATTTCATCTCTCTCTAGACAAGTGCCTACGTTGGGCATCAACTATACCTTCTCTCTCACTATAATGTGCATCTCTCCCTGGTCATTCTAATTTAGATGTTTTTGTTATTCTAATTTATTTGAATTCATATAGGTGATGAGTGTGATTGATAGAAGATTAAAGTTACAATTTTGGTTTATATATCACAAGTTATATGCATATTGACTTTATAAACATAATTAACTAATCAATCAACTAGATTTGGATAACATTCAACCAGAATTCTTTTAAAGTCTAAAAAACAAAACAATATGACACGATTGATACTCGTAATCTCCTCTAAATGAGTATGAACTTGTTATCTCTCAATTATGTGGAAACCTAGAACCCTAATAAGTAATATATTGTTATATCTTTTGCTTATTAGATTAGGTTGGGCCTAATATAGTTTCCCTATTCTCTTTCTTTCTCATAATTTTGATTTTTTTTAATGAACTTGCTTAAATGACTTTATGTCACATGGATTGTTTTAAACTCTCCCACTAACAAATGTCCTAAACCTAACTTCCCTCAACAAACAACTTAACTACTGATAAATTATAGACAATTGTTTATTTTATGTCAAACTCTATTTCCCATCTCTATGGCCACTTCCTCTCATAATTTTGAATGAAAAATCTCAACTTTTTACCTCCATTTTTATGTGAGTCTCAATTTCCATCCTAAACCAATAGTTGGAAAAAATTTATGGATGGAGTGGAACAAGTATAGTGGGGCAGGGAAGAAAGGAGTATAAATCTGTGCATTGCACGAGGTCGTTGTTAGTACTATATACATATAAAACAATGAATATTTTAGGGTGAGGGCTTAAGAAATCTTTCCTCCCATTTTTTTATTTTTTAAGAATTTTAAAATATTAAATTTTCTATCGTCCAATCATATTTTACTAAATACCTTCAATAACTAGCTATAAACTCACTCTAACCACCACTTATTCAGTTTATTTTTTAAATATAAAAATTTATAATCCAATAATTCTTACAATATTTTTGCTAGCTTATAAAATAATGGCTGGGGGAGAATAAAGGGTGAGATGGGAGATTAAGAGGAGAAGGATGTGGTCCTTTCATCACAATTTGGAATATATTTTCCAATGGTAGATTCTGTGAGATCTCGTATTTCATATAAATATAATTGGTATTAACTTTATAGTATTTTTAAAATTATTAAAATGATGAAAGAAATTTCGAATTGTTATTAAAAGAATAGTTGTTTAAGTTTGAGGTATCGGTGTATTAATTTTTGAGTCAAATTTAATTTTTGGAGGTGTTTAAGGGTAACTAAGTAAATATATTAATTTTTTTAGGTCAAAATAACATTACGATTGAATCCGGGAGGTCCGAAAACCTTGGAATAAACATTTAGCACATATAGCGATTCAGAGGGGCAAAATGGTAACTTTGGTGTTTCGGGTATAAATTGACTTTGATTTTGAGATAAATCATAAAACTAAATATTTTTAGGTTAAAATAACAATAAAAATAAATCCATAACATCTAAAAATCTTAGGATAGTTATAGATATTAAATTGAAGATATTTAGGGACAAAATCATAATTTTTGAAAAAAATACAATTTTTGGCCCTATAAACAGTAAAATTCGGGATTTGCTGGTTTTAAAACACCATTTTCAGCCCCATTTGTCCCATTATTTCTTTTCATTCTCACTCAATTACTCTTAGAACCCTAGGACAAGATAAAGGGAAAGAGAAGAGGGAAAAACAAGATCTTTAGAGTTTGGATTTTTGTTTGAAAATTTAAGAACATTACTTGGGATTCTTGGATCCACTTGGACATTTGAAGGTGGAGCTTGAGTTCTTGAGTTTTGAGGTAGAATTTTCCTTTCTCTTGCATATACAATGATGCATCTCATGTTTGTTATATATCTATTTGTTTAGTATGAGCTAAATACATGTTATGAGTCTTAATTAAATGATGAGTTTACTATGAATTTGTAAACCTATATGCATTAAATGAATTTGGGTATTGTGGGTTTGAAACCCTAAATTCATTTTTGTTATGAGTGTTTGATTAAACTTAAGATTTTAGATTATTTAGAATATATGTGATTTTAAATATAATGTATTTGATTTGTCTCTTAAGAATGAGTATATTCCTTTGTAAATGTGTATTTGGAAATTTTATGTCTATTATGTGTTTGATAAAATGTCAAAGTGACTATAAGTATTGAAATAAAATATTATAGAAAGATGTATTGATTTTTATGATGTAATTGAGTATATTTTACCATGATTTGAGCTTTTGTTGAGTTATTTTAAAGCATGAAAATGGTGGTATTGATCTACACAACTTCTTAATCATTTAATTTGCGAAAGTTGCTATAAAATGGTACAAATT